ACTCGACATTTTTTCAGGTTAATATTCAAGCTTTAGTACAGAATATGCCCTTTATGATCATCCAAATACATAGTGATGTGGAACAAACATCAATATAATATGCATGAGTGAATTAGCGAATGGGTCAGAGAGGTTTGTTTCAGTTGTGCAGGTATGGTAGGACAGAAATAGGGTGGGGGAATTTAGTTCGACTGTGGAAAGTACAATGAAGTTGTGAGTCATCAGAGAGGAGTAAGACTACATTGCTATTTTCGAATGATGGATATATGAAAATCAGATATAATTTAATAATCAGTGATAATAATAATCATAATAATAGTGGTAAAGATAATGGTAGCTGTACTTCTGATGATCAGCACGATCAATATAGGACCAGGCCCAAAGTACCACACCTCATACCAGCACATCAAGTAACAAGGCAATAAAATAGAACGGGAAGGAAGGAAAAAAATCAGTCAAAGGGTTAAACATAGCAGTTAAGATGAGGATAATCTGTCTGCATTTGCACCACTGACATCCGTTTTGAGTCGTATCACCAAGAGTCTCCAGCCACTGGTTTCCCTTGTCCTGTGGACCCCCAACCAGCTAGTCTGCAACGCCCTACAGTGCTCAAACGAACAGTCAAAGACTTTATGCATTGATGCCACGTTTTAGTCTGGCCACTCCGATCTTTTTTCCATTCTGAACCTACATTGGCCAACATTGCGCGACGAGACAGATAGTAGTCAGGCATACTTAACACATATTTTGCATCAACATCTTACCTCTCCTGCCTAAAACTCTAAACCTGACTTCTGCTTTACTCGCATGGCGACACCACGAAAAACGGCCTATGCTACGAAGGTAATGGCGACCAAACACCTGAAGCCTTCTCATGTCTTCTACCTTCAATGCCCATGTTTCACAGCAGTACAGTATATTCAACCCTTATTGCATAACCGGATATCGCGGCTGCGCCTCAGATGTCGTAAGTTGGCAGTTGAAGTATCAATGATAACCAAATGGATCATGTAAAATATAGAATGGTTCATAGAATGTATTTAACTCAGAAAAAAGTGTAAAACTGATGAAAATAATGAATCAACAGACCATTATGTAATAAGACTAGACAAGCTGTTAAAATAAAACCTTTTCTGTTGAAGCGATTAGGACAAATAAGCAAAACAACACCGGAAACTATTCACAGATAAATAAATTAGGAATAGACCACGTGCAATTCTGTGAAATGGAGTAATGCTCTACCTTTTCTTGATATATTATTTGGAACTGTCTATGCGAGTCATTATTATTTGTCACCATATTTGTGAGATGTCTAACCCACCCTTTCTGTTGACCACAGAAAAGTGCGAACAGATATGCAAGGCTTCTGCAATGGCACGCACTTTGTGAGAAAGGAAACCCTTTTGCAAGATTTTTGCCTCTTCGAATGATATTTTATGAGCCTCGATGGAACAACCTTTTCAATTTCTTTCAGATTATAAGAATTTTTCGGTTGTTGCTCGTAACTTCGACAGTATTCGGTTAGGCATGTTAGCACTTGAAAAGATGTCTCTGCAACTTATGTGGCATCGCATTCACAGCAGCCTAACTTGTAAACGCAGTTATGTTATCTCAAATGGAGAGTTGGGTCTTTTAGTCTGTACAAGTGAGTAGCTAAAGGTTTTGACTATCTATATGAATAGCTAAAGCTTCGGTAATACAAGATGAGCAAATACAAGCTATCTTTTACCAGCTTCTAATCTTCATGTGATAACGGTACTAAACAAAAAGGACCACTGAAAGAAATTAAAAGAAAACAAAAATATCGATTACCAACTAACTTATCTCTGGAACGGTCATGAGAGCACACTGCTGAGGAGTCCTATGCTGCGACGAAGCAGTAACCCAGGTTCCTAATGGTTCTCTAACTAATGTCAGCCTGTGACGAGTGCAAACTTGAAATCAATAAATACCCACAAGCCTCCAAACTGAACCTATCTAAAAGTTAAGATTTTTGAACTTGACTATGCATTAGTCCCATGTTAATCAGCAGCGATGTTTGTGAATAGCAAGCACCTGTCTTTTCATTGCTGATCCTACTGACTGACAATGCGAATTTTTCTATACCTACTGAAATCGGGGAGAATCAGACAGAATGAGGAACCAGGTGACTGATAACCAAACTACTCAGAATGGTTTCGGATAACGGTATCTGATATTACACTTTGGCTAACTGGATTATTCGGTAACTGGAATAAAACGAGAATTCAAGCAACAGTTGGATCTAACGGGAGAAACGGTAAAATACACAAACAGTATTATGGGAAATTATTCGGTCCATATTTCTTTTTAAATCACTGTATGTTTTTATGAGATTAACCACATTTTATAACTTCTTTCACAGGCTAATGAAAATAGGTGAAGGAATATGACAAACAACAAAGCTTTTTCATTCTAAAAAGAGACTCTGTACCACTACGCATTCTGGAGCCCATTTTATGCCCTATTCGAGACTAATATTAACTATAAATATAACTGTCACATATTCAGATGTCAAAACGTTTCCACTGAAGTGATTTTGGTAAAGTAGCTGTACTATTCTCTGAGTAAATCAATGCTTATGAAAAATAAATGCACTGAGATCTATCACAAAGGAAACAAGGATGACTACCAAGAACACATCCCAAAGAAAAACGCCTTCAGATGACTCCCTACACAATCTAGGCGCATTTAATCATGGAATGATTATCACCATTTCGTGAAAATAAACTTCACTTACAAAAAAGTCTGTCTTTTGTTTATTTTGAAAACGAAAAGTTTGTAAAAACAATCTCAAACTCTCCTTGTATCACTAGGAAAAGGATATTTTGAAGATGATGCAAGAAATTTCAGAATCTACTTCCAACTCGAATAAACAAGATTTTATTCGAATTCCGATAAAATATAAATCTCGGTGTTTTTCAAAGTTATTTTAGAAAATATATGTCCATTGTTTTGGCCTATATATAAGGATTTACCATAGCACACTATTACTGGACATAAAAAGCGAAAAGCTTTCTCATCTCGCTTATTTACTTCAACAGGCTATGATGTAAGAAAAATTATGACTTCAAATATTATTGAACAACAATAATAATTTTATTCAACCTGGCTGGTTGCATGTAATCCAGACCCTACATACATCACGGCAATGACTTAGACTGCGAAAATTCAGATATTTCATAACAGTGAGGAACCTTTTTTTAACTAGTAAAGGCTATCATCTTATTGTTTAAGTTATATTGATTCTTATTTCCACTGGTAAAAGATAAATGATAGATAGACCACGGGAGCACATTAAAGTTTTCTCCTCATTATCAGCTAAGTTATAATCTGATACAAAGTATACATTACTAATATTTGTAACATCTGTCAGAAATCTGGGATAAAAATTAAGTTACAAAGAAGATAAACCCATAGGGTAACAAAAATCGAAATCAAAAACTTCGTTTTGAACAATGTGATAAGATCCTCATGAGTATCCTTTAGCTTACACCTGAACTATAAGTTAACAGCTTTACTTTATTGGATATAGGATATTTCATTAGTTGTTAAGTCCGACATATCACTGTCATTGTGCATATATATAATGTATCGTCACCTATAGAGTCCAAAACTTCCATCAAGTTCAGATATAATACTAGGAGTCATTACATGCTTGTGTCGTATGACGTCGGAAAAGACAGATAATATCAGAGTAGGACTAGACATTACGGAGTCACTGTCCAAGTTTCCGCAGCTTCTATCGGCACATCAAACGAGAATGCACCAAAATGAAAGATGATGCAATGAAGAAGAAAGCCGTAGAAAGTCGTCAAAACAGAGCGAGGAGGAATGAGAAAATAGTCGATTTCAGTATAATGATTCAGATAAAGATTATGTATGGATACATTCCCACCATCGTGAATCAATCCTGAGACATATCACCTAAAGTTTTCAACCACTGGTTTCTGTTGTCACATAAACCTCAACCTGGAAATATACATTTCTCACTACGTGGCTCAGATCAACAGTCTAGGACTTCAGACACTGACTGATATCATGTCTCAACCTAACCACCTCCAACTGTTTTCCAGTCAGTGCCTACATCAACTAACATTGTACAACGGGTATCACTTCCAGTCATCAGTCAGCTGATGTAGATTATTCAATGATTAGGCACAATCTGTGCTTATAGAGAAACAAGAAATCCAGTTTCGAAGTTAATTCGCCACTGGTTCATGAATGTCAAGCAACATGTATTGTGCTGATTGCAGACAGACAACCAATCAGTGGTGTTGTAATCTCGAATTTGAAGAGGAATCAAAATTCATAACTCAGAAGTTCGATGATATTTCATGAGCGGTGGAGTGGTACAAGTTGGAAGATGCAGTCTATGAATTTCTAGATGATGAAAGAGGTGGAAAACACTTGCTGTAGTGAACAAACAGATTTAAATGTTGCATCAAACTGATTTAATCACAGTTTTTACAAGTCCAATTGAAAAAATTAATTAATTTCTTTTATCCACACGAAGTGTGTGCGACCAGACTGAGAAAATATACAGACATTCTTATTGATAAAGATAATCAACTGAAGCGTGCAATTAAATTTTGATGAATGAAGTTGTTTTATTATGTTCAACTTTGAAACAGAGTTAGGCAACAATAAGATGGGCAGTTTGATTAGTAAAAATAAACTCTATGCCTGACTTCTGCATGGTGGCTTCATGACACTTCTTGGATATTATAGGAGCACAGGAATTGGCTTGAGTTGACAAAAGTTACTCGAGGCAGTTTTATTCATGGTCAGGTTTGGATGGTCACTAATTTCTTATGTGTGATCCGACTTCTCTGGTAAGTAAGGTGGTCAACGGGTGCAATTACATTTTAACAAATGAAGTCATTTTAACACGTTTATCTTTAAAACAGGGTAGGCAACAATAAGACCCACAGTTTGATTAGTAACAATAAGGCAATGAGAAAAATTATCAATAGGCTTACTTGGTATTACTTTTATCCCTTGTTAGATAACGTGGTTCTGGATTATCATCATTACTGTTCACATCATATGATGCGAATGGATCCTAGATGGGGACAATGTATAAAAGAAAGTTTGTAAATTGTCAGTTTTTATCATTAGCATTCATATACACCACATAAACAGATTACGCAGACTTCCGTAGTTAATAAGACAACAGAAAAAATCTTCCAGATATTAGTAGTGTAAATGAAAAAGCGATTGATAAATAACTGGAAACCCATTGCACGAAAGACGTAAAATTCGTTTTTCGCCGAGTACGAAATGTAATTCAAGTTAAAGGACATTAGTAAACTCAGTGAGTTTGTTATATCCATGAAAAATTTGTGCATTTTGAAAAGCGAATTAATTCATTAGAAATATATTTTTAATGAATGTTTACACACCATGATGTTATTCAGTTTTCGTAATATATAGAGAGAAATTGCTACCTGTGATCACAGCAATTGTAGGGAATTACTTGTGAGTTTGTGATCAGTTAAACTTTTTCTACTCCTAACAAAGTAGATAAACCTCACCTACGTAACTAGTTCACCAGATACTAGCCGGTCCAAAGCTCGGATAAAGAGGCAAGGTTGGGCACAGGGCTAGCAACCCTACCCCGGAAAACTAATCCAATCGCTAAAGAAACTTCAAAGCACAAACAAAATAAAATAATAAAATTAAACTCATTCCATGCTGGAATCGGAGAGGGGCAATGAAGCCGGTTGTTAAAAGCCTTCGGGAAGTCAACTGGCCGATGTGTCTCATCTTTCGCGATAAAAGCAAAAGTAAACATGGGGACATGGAATTTCCGGACTATGTTTGAACATAGCAAGACTGCCTAGATCGCAAAAGAGATGAGAAGGTATCACACTGAAGTGATAGGAATCTGCGGAAGCAGATGGGATGGAATTGAACTCTCCAAAGTGTCAACTCGAGAGTCAATAATCTAGTCCGATATTGTCAACGAGATGACAACCACCAGCACACCGAGGGAGTGGCTATTATGATGTACCCAACACCATAGAAAGTTCTCATACAGTGAGAACAAATCTCCTCCAGGATAATAAAAGCAAGGTTCAACTCAAAAGGAAGGAAAGTCACAATTATACAATGCTACGCAATGCATCTACAAATAATGCAAATCAAGAGAAGGAGGAATTCTACAGACAACTACAATCAGCACTGGACAAGACCTTAGTTGGCGACATGAATGCCAAACTCGGAGCGTACAACACAGGAAGAGAATTAACCATGGGTCGAAAAGTACTCGGTGAAATGAATGAGAATGGAGAACTGTTTGCAGACTTCTGAGCCTTTAATGACCTGGGATTGGAGGCAATGCGTCCAAACACAAGCATGTTCACAAGGCAGCGACATGGATTTGACTTCACCAGATGGACACACTTAGAATCAGATCGACTTAATCTCAATCTCAAGAAAGGGGAGACTCAGCCTACTTGACATACGATCAAGAAGAGCAGCAGATGTGGGTTCACACCACTCACTATCTTGTGCAAGGAACCTACTTTTGAAATCAAGTTGGAAGCCTTCAAAGAAGCTGGTGATGATAGACCATAGTTTAAGTTCAACACCCAGAACATAAACTGAACTGAAGGACGAAACTACAGAGAACACCTTCACATCAGTCAGCCATCCGAGAACAATGGAAGGCATTTAGCAACATCCCTGTGGGAACCTGTGTGGATGAACACAAGAACTCTGAGAGGAATGCGGTAGGAAACCTGCATAACCGTGTTGGAAAGGAAGAAGATCTCGACGGACACATGGAAACTGATAGAGGAGGGAGAGGAAAATGGTGAAGTGGGAGATGAACCAGTGCAGTGCAGGGGTTAACAACGAAAAGAACTGAGTACAACCTATGAAACTACACCGAACAAAGAAGTAAAGAAGAATGCATGCAAAGACGAAAAACATTTCTACGAAACACAAGCTGCAGGTAGGAGAGACCTGACAACATTATATCAAATAACCAGTTTACTATCTGGAAGGAAAGAGATCAACGCAGATGAAAACAATGAAAGATAGTAAAGGGAACTTAGTTACCACCAAAAAGAAGAAACAGAGAAAACGATGAGCCAACCGCCTCAAAAAACTCGTGAATCGACCAAAACCACCACCACCTGCAACATCCCAGAAATACCACCAGCACCCTAGCCACAGAACTACCAACGACAAAAGCAGAAGTGAAGTCCTCAACGCCATAGAGTTGCTGAAATCCATGAAAGCAGCACAGCCAGATAGAATTCCACCAGGAGCACTAAAAACAGACACAAAGACAGCAGCAGACATGTTCACATCACCATTGCAGAAGCTTTCGAGAGAAAGCTAACTGTCCATTGACTGGAAGACAGGCCACCTCGTCAAACTCCCAAAGAAGAGTAAACCACCTTAGTCTTTCCAACTGGCACGGAATCATACTCCTGTACACCCAAAACAAGCAAAATATTATGGCACATCATCCTGGAGAGACTAAAGTATCCTCTGGATTCAAAATTACCACCGGAACAGGCTGGCTGGCTTTAGGAAGAACAAATCATGTGCGGACCAAATCGCAACGCTACGCTTCGCATCATCATAGAATACAACAGAACGTAGAATGGCAGTCAGCCCTCTACCTCAACTTCGTCGAATTTGAAAAAGCCTTCAACAGAGTCAACCGAAAAGTAATTTGGCAGCTGCTTCAATACTCCGGTTTTAGTACCACAAACCTTTATCAAACTCATTCAACAGCTATGTGATGATGATGCTACATTCCAGGTAATTCACAATGGAAAGCTCAGTGATGCGTTTGAAGTGAAGACAGGAGTAAGACAAGGTTGCCGCCTACTTTCACTGATGATCTTCCTGATTGTGATGGACTGGATCATGCAATAAACAGTGAGGAGCGAGAAGAGGGGCATACGCTGCCTGGACCGATGAAAAGACCTTAGAAGATTTGGATTTCTCCGATCATGATTTATGTCTAGTGTCTTATGTCGCACAAACTCGAAGATCTACAGGCAAAAGCCAACAAGTTGACAGAAGCGGTAGGACAGCGAAGACGGAACTTCAAGTGAACATAGAGAAGACAGAGATGATGAAGATACCCAACCACCACCAGCGACAACAAGCACCGATAACCATTAACAGGAGGAACCTAAAGGAAGTAGTCTCTTTCACCTACCTGCATACGCAGCATCGTTTCAACTACCACAGGTGGCGGCACAGATGAGGACATCAAAGCCAGGATTGGAAAGATAGCAAGATAGGCCTTCATTAACTTTAAACCAGTGTGCAGATCTGTTGCACTCAGCATAAAGAACAAGATCCGGATTTTCAACACTAATGTCAGTCAAGTGATGGTTGAGAGACTTCGCTCGTCACGAAAAGCATTTCCAACAAACTACAGACATACCTCAACAGCTGCCGTCCACGCTCACTCGATACTGACTTTAAAGACCAGATGGCAACAAAAAAATAAGCAACAGGGAACTCTGACCTAAAAACGAATCATTCAAAGACCCATCACCCAACAAATATGCAGAATAAAGTGGAGATGGATTAGATTGGGCATACACTGAGAAAACCATTCGGAGACATCACGCGCCAGGCCAGGCCGTCGAGTGGAATCCAAAGGGGAAACGACGAATTAGGTGTCTGAGCGTGACATGGAGGAGATGGTGTGAGAAAGAAATGAAAGCTTCTGGGCAGTCGTGGAGCCAGGTTTAAAAGACTGTAGAGAACAAAATGCAATAGAGACGTGCTATTGAAGTCCTATATTCCACTAGGAACCCAAGGGACAAATGATAATAATTGCATAGCAGATATAAGAAAAAGGTATCTACACGGAGGACTTGAAGAATTTATATATATATATATATATATATATATATATATATATATATATATATATATATATATATATAATGAAATGGTTACAGAGTTGCTTTTTGTTGTGAAATAGTAGTACTGAGGAAAATTATATCAAAATGGAAGCTTCCTACATACTTTATTGCCTATCTACTGTTGAGGAAGGCTACATTAACCACAAAATAGGTTGCTAAAAGTTTTCTCACATAGGACAACTAGGATTAATCTGTTGATGCTCATGTCCATAGAGAGTGCAACTGAATATATTTGAAAAAACAGGTTTTAAAGCTATTCATTCAATTTTACTGTTTCTGTGGAATAAATAACATAGGACTTACGATTAGGCAGGTGTGTTTCCGAATAAAAGAGGATTTACCGGTTTGGTCCGGAAAGCGGTGAAAAGTTGCATCCTCCTAGTGAACTTTATATGCGATTATGCAGCTTGAGAATGACGTTGTTGAAAGGATCGGTTCTTTGCTGGATACTTTTCTTCTTATAACGTAAAGGGGGAATTCTAAACTAACTTTTTCTACAATTCGACTGTTAAGACAGGAATGCTTCTGTTAGCGTGATTTTGATAGACAAGTTTCAATATAACTGTTGTACGATGTTTACTAACAAATAAGTTCTGATGCATCTTTGGTAAGTTCATGATACTTAAAAAATACTGCAAGCTAAATAAATCTCATGAGGTAGCATCTTCATGTACACATACTCAAATCTGTTAAAAACATGCCACAATGTCAATGATGCTCAAAAAGTAATAAATAGCCCTTTCAACATATTTTAAAGTATTATTAATCAACGTCTAAACATAATATCGAAGTAAGATAGACAAAGACTTCTCAGTATAAATGTGAACGGAAAGTTACATTACTGATACCCACTGCACAAGAGGTGGCTATCGTACCCCAGTGTCCTACTGGATAACACTTTGGCGTCTGAAGTGACGGGTACTGGGTTTGAGTCTCAGTGGGAACAACTTCACTTACAGGGGTCCATGTACATCTGTATGACGAGTCTCAAATACGACGAAACGCGCGTCTTGGACCCCACTGCTGGCCACCAAGCAAACACCAACATAAAAAGTTACATTTATTGAATCAATCAATCAGCACGGTCCTGCGTAAAAGTTAACTGACCATAGAAATACAAATATATAATACATCACGTAGAAATTCTCACTCATAG